TAACAAAAGAGATTGAAAGGTAGCTTGGAAGATATCACATCATCAAAAGAAGGATTTGTTTAGGGGTAGGAAGGTCTTGGGCATGCTTGTAATCAAGAGGAAGGACACAAATGTCAGTGAAAGAGCAAATGAAAGTAATCACTGATCACTGGAGAAGCAAAGGTTTTAAAAGTGTGGGAAGAGATGGAATTGAGAACACTGTAACTGAAGTCACAAACATGTTCCCTGGAAACACAAAAAGAGAGGTCGAACTAAAGAAAAATTTAGGAAAGAAAGAGTAAGCATATGGTAGACAGTTCAGATTTTCTCAGTACTGTGGAGGCCATTATGCACTGGGGCAGGAAAAAGAGCCAAGCAAAGCAGCCAGAATGCTGCTAGGGTATAATGGGGAGTGCTTAGATTGGAATTATTCGTGTGGAAATGGAGAAGTGGATGATAAAGATACAGATATTAATATGTCCCAAAGCAAAAATCAATATGACCTAGAGCCTTCATAATCTAAGATGAAATATAGAAAAAAAAACAAATTTTTAAATTCAGATGAATGGAAGTAATTTTATTATTTCCCAAAGTAATAAAAAGACATGGGAGGTGATATCTCAAGAGAAAACTTATAAAGTTCAATTTTAATCTGTTCAGTTTTAGGTAATGGTGACACATAAAATTGAAAATGTTGATGTTGCATTGTATATTGATTCAGCACATACTTATTGAAGCCTTCTTAGGTGCCAGATGCTGGCCTGACAAATAGGTGACAAAGAATTGAGCTCAATAAAGTGAGAAAATAGACACTGAAAATACTTTAAAACTTTAAAGAAAAAAAAAAGCAAGAATCTTATTATGGCTTAGATCTTAAGTCAGCTCCAAAAATCTATTGTATTCAGAAGTAGAACTTTCAGAAGGTGATGGCGTCATGGGGGTGCTACACTCCTCAGTAGATCAATCCATTGACGAGCTCACAGCTGAATATGTTATTAGTAGGTGGGGCCTGGTTGGTAGCAGGACATTAGGAGTGTGACCCCAAAAGGTGTATCCTGGTCTCTGGCTCCTTTCTTTCTCTACTTCCTGGTTCCCATAGAATGAGAAGCTTTCCTCCATCAAGTTATTCCACTACTCCCTTTCTGCTGTGGATCCAGCCACCCATAGAATGAATCCCCCAAAATGGTAAGCCAAATTAAAGCCCTCATTCTTTAAATTGTGAATGGCATGTATTTTGTTCCAGCAGCAGGAAAGCTGACTAATACAAGACTGCTCTGAACTGGGCAAAAACAGAGAGCACTCATTCTACATTAAGAATAAACACCATGTGAAAGTGTTAGAAAAATGTGAGAATGATTTCTAAACAAATTATAAATCTTTAATAAGATGCAAAGGAATGAGAACTAAAGTAATCCTGAAAGCTTAAGAAGTTGTAAACACGAGAAGGAAAACAATAAGCTATGAAGGGTGAAATAAATTTTGGTTAAAAACATTTTACTCTTCATTTGGGCCAATTTAAAAGCTTTATTTTGATCCCAGATATATTGAGGACAAATGTGTGCATGTTTCCACTTAAAGCCTATTAAAAAACAATAACTGTAAATGAAGTGTAACTGTTCTCCGATGTGAACTCAGAAAAGGGCTTAAATTTTTGGGAGACCTGTATAGACTCCATACAAATATGAATAAAAACACGGCTCAAAGACAACCTGACATCCCATTAATAGATCCAAGCTTAAAGTAAAATAAAAACCAGAGGGTTTTGTGTGTGTGTGTGTGTGTGTGTGTGTGTCCTTGAAAACTTATTTGACAACTTTAATATAGAAGGTCCAAAGTCAAAGTTAAAGCAAAAATTTTTTCAATTCATTATTTTCATAGGATAAAGGAAGAAACATGAAGGGTTTTTATAAATTGGAGGCTTTAGAGAAAATTGCAGAAACTAGAAGTTCAGTGGCTTAAAATGTCACCAGTTGATGTTCTTGTAGCAAACCAAAAGCATTTGGACTCCAATTGTTTTGTAATGGGATATTCCTGAAAGTTTCAGCTGTGTTAATCCCCCAATTTTCAAGAAGTTATCATCCCCTTTAGTGATGATTGTTTATTGTAACCTACTAGATAGGTCAAAACTAATTTTAAAACGTCTTCATGAACATAGGAGGGTGTATTTTACCCAGTCTGCTTCTAATTACTTATTTACAGTTCTGGTAGATTGGGGAGGTTATAATGTGTACAGTATTCTAGTGCTTTTAAATAAGGGCTACTAACTTTTCTCAATCAATAAAAAGAGTTTAAATGTCAGCTCTATATTAATTGTGCTAACTTGAAAGGTCATGCAAGATGGAATCAGCAAGAACTCCAAATGCTTCTTTTTACTCATGACTATTTAATTCCTCCCAATAAGTCATATCCTAACAGTTCTTCCCCACTCACTTTTGATTGAAAAAATGCAAACATCATGGCATGTTATTTCAAAACATTCTTTAAAGTGAAATTCGCAATTTCAAATATGTCCGATTCCATCTATTTGATGAGATGGGCAGGGCCTGGATAGGTATGCAGGGGGATTGGGTGCAACATATGTGTGGTCTGCCTGTGCTAAAGATCCTCTCTCCCTTAGGATCTGTCCTCCCTTTCTCTGTTTTCATTATCTACTGTGACAAAACCTGTCAATCAGAATTAGTCATCAGATAATTCTTTTATGAACAATTAAGTAGGACCAAGTAAAATTGCAGGAAATACTTGAGGTCAGAGGAGGAAATTTTAACTAAATAATATTGTATGAATTTGCCAGATTACTGAATCTATTGAAGCAAACAGTCTCAAGGATTTATCAAGCGAAGTGAGAAACCATTAGTATCCAATTCCATTTTGCTATATGACTATAAAATTTCCCTCATCCCTTCCTTTCTCTCTCCTTCTCTCTTTTGCTTCTTTCCCTTTTTAATGAGATTTTTTTTAAGAAGCAACCTTTAAATATTTATTTTCTCAGCATTGGCATCCTGGACTAACCCAATAGAAACTAGAATCATTCCAAGAAAACATGTTCTTTCAAGAGTCTATTATCCAAGCAAAATAAGTCATAGGCTTAGTGGTGAGTGGAAATAAGGGATATTTCAAATTCTTTAAAACATCTCAAAATTATTTTTAAAAATTTTTGGTTTTGGAAATGTCTTTTACATGGCTTTTCTAAACACTTATCCCTTGAGAAGCATGAATGCATGAAGGAAAACTTGATTTCTTTTTCTTTTTCAGTTTAGATTTCCTAATTAAAGTCATATGAAAAGAATGCTTGAGAAGTAAACATTTTAAAAGGCCTTTTTGTTTCATTTAGATGAGAATAAGTAAAACACTACAAAAACATACACACAGCCAAAAATTACCTGAAAAAATCGTCAGTTACTTTAATTCAAGGGAAGTACAAGTTAAAGCTCCAGGGAGAAACTACAATGCTACAAAAGCTAAAATGAAAAATACTGGGAATCCCAACAGGTTGGCAAAGACGTGGAGCAAATAAAGCCCTCATATATTTCTTGGGGAAACAGGGATAGAAAAATTAAACAAAAATAGTTAAATATACATCCTCTCTGTAATGCAGCAATTCCAATTCTAGATAATTCTCTAAGAGAAATTAAAACATATAATCACAAAAAATCTTGTACAAAAGATTCTTAGAAAAATCTATATTCATAAAAACACAAAAGCTACCACAGTTCAGGAGTCTACAGCAAGAAAATGAATAAACAAAATAGAGTATTCAAATATAGAATTCTGCTCAGGAATAAAATACCTACAATGTCATGAATAAATCTCAAAAACATGCCGGATGAAAGAAAACAGGCAAGGCAAGGCCATACTCTATGATTCTATTTCAATGAAATTCTAGGGTAGGTAGAATTAATAGTAATAGAAAATCAGGGGCTGCTTCTAAAGGAAAGTATGTACTTTGTGCGGTGATAAACATGTTCTATTTCTTGTCAAATACATTTATCACAACAGATTAAACTATATGCATAAGTTCTATGCATTTTACTACATTTAAATTGTACCTCAACTTTTTTGTTTCTAAAGGGAAATAAGAAAACTTCTCAAATTTAAAAGTCACTTTGGTTGTTTTTTAAAAAACACTTTAAAAATAAAATGTCTTGATTAAAGCTTCAAAAATTTCAATGCTTCTCCATTTGTATGTTTCTGAATTTTGAAGGTAGCTAATGTAGTAAATATTTATGCTTAGCAGATAACTGTACCGTTTTATAAGAAATGTTCATTACAGTGCCAGGTACACAGTGCCAAAATACATGTGTTGGGTGGAAGGATGAATGAACAAGAGTAATATTGAAATATACTTGACTTTCCTCATTTGTTTTACCAAGATGATAGCTGTTTTTCCTCTGCCTAAATCTTCCTTTTGTTTCTCTTGCTAGCTGTCTAAACTAGTGATTCTTAAACTCCAGTGGGCATTAGAATCATCTGAAAGGCTTGTGAAAACACAAATGGCTGAGCTCTAGCCTCAGAGTTTCTGATATACTCAGGTACAGAGGGGAGCTGACATTTGTGTTTGTGACAACTTCCTAGTAAAAGCAAATAGGATGTTACTTGGTTTGAAAGCCTACTGACTGCTTTAAGCACATCTTCAACTGAAAGATCAAAGCTTTGCTTTTCGGAGGAATTTTTCAGCTCTTAATAGTTTTTTCCTGAGTGACCTTACCCTCATCCTCTCACCTATATTATTTTATCACTGTTCATTTGTGTATTTGATGCTGACTCTTTCCCATTTGTATTTTCCTACTTGGGGTGAAACATATATTTGCATGTTTTCTACTCAGGCAGATTATAACTGGCAAGTCTAGAGCCCTGACTCACATTATACATGTTTTTCACTCCTAGAACAACTGTACTGCTAATAGGTAATAAGTAAATGCTTATTTTTATATGTATATATCCTTATAAAGCATGTACAAGCACCATTAAAAGGAAGTACTAGTTTTCAGAGGAAACACAGAATTTTTTTTATGACAAATTACCTGTCATTGGGACAATGACTCGGCAGAGTCCAGTCGTGGTGTGGATTGATGAGGAAACCCCAGGACAGGAAGACTGAGCTTGGTGTCAGAGTGCCAACCACCATCTGGAGAGGTTTACGAGGACGAGCTTTACCTGTAAAGGCAGCAGATAGGTTAGGTCTGGAAACAGTTAGTGTCTTTTTATGTGTGCAATGAAATACATAACAATGACTTGGTAAGATGATAAAAAAGTGTAAAAACATCAAGTCCTTTTGATCTCATGTGCAGATATTACAATTTTTCTTATAGATTTTTTATTGATTAAGTTTATTGATATATTTAGGTATACAATATGATGGCATTCATCATTGTGAATTTGTACTTTTACATAATATATCTTGATTCTCATTTTTCCTTATTCCCCTGTCCTGCCTTCATCCCCTCCAACCATTCCTATTTGCAAAGACTTTGTTTCTATCTTTATCCTTTTCTTGTATTTGTTCCATTCCCTTCTTTACTTTCCACTACCCCTCTAACTTCCCCTTCCTCTTTAGAACTTTTCTTCCTATTTCACATTATCTACTATAGATTTTGATCCTTATTTACACTGTCAGTTTCTCACCCTAGAGAAACTATTCCGTATTTACACATGTGTGTCCTATTTATTTCACCTCAGCATATGGCTTCAATGTGCATCCTTTGAGCTATAAATTCTTTATGCCTGAGCAGTACTCCATTTTATTTACAAAAATCACACTTTATCCAGTGTCCAGTTGATGGGCAACTGGGCTGTTTCCAAGTTTTAGCTAATACAAACTATGCTACTATGAACATGGGTGCACATATATCACTGTGGTATGGTTCTTTTCATTCTTTTCGGAAGATGCCCAGCAGGGGAATAGCTGGGTCAAATGACTTCCAATCTTAGTTCTTTGAGGTATCTCCGTACTGATTTCCACAGTGGTTTCAACCAGTCTGCACTCCCACCAACAGTGGGGAAAGGTTCCTTTTCCCCACAACCCTACCAACATTTGTTATTGGTTGAATTCTTGATAGCAGCCATTCTTTCTGGGGTGAGGTGGAATCTCAGTGTTGTTTTCATTTGCATCTCTGGAATGACCAGTGATGATGAACATTTTTTCATATGTTTATTTGCTGTTTCTACTTTTTTGTTTGAGAAATGTGTTCATTTCAGATGTCCATTTTTGGATTGGGTCTCGAAATTTGGGAGGTCTGATTTTTTTAAGTTCTTTATATATTCTTGGATAGTAGACCTTAGTCCGAGGAACAGCTGGTAAATATTTTTCCCACATTGCAGGCTGTCTTTTCATGCTATTGGTGGTTTCTCTTGTGGTGCAGAAGCTTTTTAATAAGATGAGATCCTATGCCAATGTCTTCAAGAGTCCTACATAACCTCTCTGCTAGCCAGTTTAGTGTTTCTGTTTTAATATTTAGATCTTTGATCCATTTTGATTTTACTTTACTTCATGGTGAGAGATATAGGTCTAATTTTAATCTTTGGCAAGTTGAAACCCAATATTTCCTGTACCATCTATTAAAGAGGCTATCTTTCCTCCAGTGAGGGTTTTTGGCTCCTTTGTCAAAAGATGAGGTGGTTCAGTTGGTCTGGATTTATTTCTGTATCTTCTAATCTGTTCCATTGATCCTCGGGGCTGCTTCTTTGCCTATGCCATGCTGTTTTTATCACAGTTTGCTTATGAGTTTTAACATGAATCAGGTGAAATGTATTTATTAGACTTATGTATGCATGCATACACTCATGTATATGTATATATATAAAAGCCATATCTGAATATATCTAGGTTTTTTTGTGGGCCTCAGATGGATATTGAGTTCTTGGTTATGATCAGTGAGGTAAACGCATAAATACCTAAGTGTGTATTTATACAGGCACACACACATCATTTCTTTTACAAATGAAAACATGCTTATTTTTTCCTGGGATTGTGAATTAGTATTAAATAATATTGAAGGAAGAAAAACTTTCTCATCTAGGTTGTAGGTCATATTCCTTTTTGATACCTATTCAGAAGTACCAAAGCCCCTGATATATTATTGTAATAAGCACATAGTTTACATTGAATAGCTAAAAGGAACATGTACACACATTTTTTCATAATTCTAGAAGATTAAAAGTAATACAGGAAGTACAATTCTGATGGGACCAATTGGACTTTAGCAATGTCAAGAGTTATGCTGTTGAGTCACTATCAATTCTTTTCAAGTTAAAAAAAATTGAAACTGGAGGACTGAGAAGACAGTGAGAAAGGAGGAGAGTCTGGGGATTTAGCTCAGTGGTTCCTCTGCCTGCCTCGCAAACACAAGGACCCAAGTTTGATCCCCGGTACCAAAAAAAAAGAAGAAGAAGAAGAAAAAGGAGGAGAAGAATTGTTTTTTCCTCATTGAGTTTATTGGTACATTTTAGGCATACAGCACAGCTACATTCATCACTGGGATCTTGTACCTTTACATGACAGACCTTGGTTCTCATTTTTTCCCCGTACCCCTGCCCTCCCTTCACCCGCTCTACCCTTCCCTATTTACAAAAACTGTTTCCATTTTCTCCTATTTTTTCTTTTTCCATTTTTCCTTTCCCCTACCCTTCCCACTTCCCCTACTCCTTTAACCCTTTTGAAAGAAGAAGAATCTTAACCATGGAACCAACATTGTCTCAATCAAGATAAATAAAATTTTAAAATCCTTAAAGAAACCTAGTGAA